ATGAAGTTCTTAGTGCATAGTCATTAAAGAAGCGCTTTGGAAGTGGAGGAGAGCACCCTCCTTCCAGGTCATGACTATTTCTTCTCCTTACATCAAAAATCTATTAAGTTATTTCACAAGTCCTCTGCGGCTTAAAAACAAAATTGATAACTTCCTCTTTAAAGTTAGATTATTTTTTTATAAACATTCTTATCTCAAATCTAAAATTCAGTCAACTTCATGTAACAACGCGATTAATAAAAAACAAGTTAAAGTAAGTCGGAGTATCTAAGCAAGATTTTTGCATCTGCTACAGGAGTATATTACTTTCGCCGCATAGTAATGCCTCAAACACCTCGTAAAGCATATATATCATAGAGAAGTGCGAGTAGTGATATTCGTTTGCTTTCCCGGCAATGGAAACATCTCGTAGAGAAGTCATCATGAATTTCGTAAGATGGTGGCTTATCGAATATAATGCAGGTTCGAGTTTCACAGGATTTCTAAAGGTCTGTGGTATTACTACGGGCTAGAGAAATAATAGCGCGACTGACTACCATGCTAGTCCTGGGTCGATATTTTTCCTTGGTCGTTTAAACTTTATCAACGAAAAATTTGATGATAGCCCAATGAAAAAGTTGATGATGAACCAATGCTTTTAAGCCTTCTTTAATATAGTCTAGAGTTATACTACACAGTAGACGGCTAGGGCAGATAGACACGACCGTGATGATGTGGAATTCTTATGTTGAGAAAGGATTCCGATAATAAGAAAGGGCGAGACTGTTTCTCGGAGGTCTTGGGCCGTTAAATACTGAAATGTTAGATAGGCTTCATTTCGTGTTCACACCATGTATCAACAGGTACCGACGAATCAAGCGTACTTACGTAGACGTTGGAGTAAATTATTACAGAGAGCTAACCGCTTCCTTCTTTGTTCTCACTTCTGATGAAATCACATCTGACTTCAAAATAATATCAAGTGGAATAAATTTCATGTCAAAGTTTTCTGGGTTACCCTCGTCAGGTTAAGTTCAAAAATTCCACAACATCGTAAGAAAGGTTCACTCGCAATCAATGAGAAATCATATTTAGACAATAAGTATAGCTTTAGTCTATGCGAAAACCTTTTAAGTACGGGCCAATTGTTCAGGAATATGATTAGAATGTAGACTTACATGACGTGTACTTTACGACACTATGTTTTCATATGACGAGTGATTCGATCTACAATACGATATACGCTGTACGACGTGCATCGAGTTCTCTCTGTATTGCAGTCAAACATCATCCATCGTACGTCGTACATTGTAGTGCGCTCGAAGGCGAACATAACGGATTTTCTGTGAGGCCGTACAACTATTTACAAAACGCTGTGAGAATATTTGAAAATATTACCAGAAGAGTAATCTTCCATTTGTTTAGGTGGTTTAGCGAAACGGCGAATGTTTACTTATTCTTGAGTGGAGTTAAAAGATTTAAAAGTATTCCTTCTATTCTAACATATATTTTTCGCTATAAAAGACAATTGTATACCAATTGACTGGTTATTTACTTTTCAAGTTCGTTCAGGATTTGGTTGACGAACATGTAATACGCTGCTCAAATTGAATAAAATTTTAGTCTTATTTTTTCTCCTCAGCTTATGATATTAGTTTGATTACTTAGCGTTTTTTTTTTACTTGTTAAAAAACGTTTCGCAAACATTCTTATATATGTGCTTTTATGATGATTGTATTTCAGGAAATTTAGTGAAATATTATTTCCGGTTATCAATTTATGGAACAAAAACAACACGTGTCTGGATTTATATAGATTACTACACGGTTTCTAAAGAACCGAAATGTATATATTACTGACTTGTATTAAAACTTGTCTTTATTTTTCTTTTATCATTTTTCTTTTGATTTGTATATTATTTGCTTATTTTTCATTTTTTTCTGTAGTTTCCATGCAATCAGTAAAAATATTCCCCAGACAAATTAATTAAGGCATCATTAATGTTTTTCTTTTCTCGTAACTGAAAGTGGCCCTCCAAAGGAAATTAAGATTTTTCAAAGCACTTTCCAGACCATAATTAAGCTTAAAAACAGCTCAGAGAAAATCAATATAATATTCTTTACTAACAATACATATCTGCAAGATTACCGTTAACTTTTGATTTCTTTTGATTCATATCCCTCAATTATTCCTTTTTTCTTTTTTACTTAATTCGTCGTCTAGCGTTGATTTGCTGACTAACAGAGGAAAAATAAAAATAATTCATTGAAATTTATAAGGAACAATTAAAAAATTTGTAACATAATCAATCAATGGTCGTTCCCAACTGAGGTAGAGCGTTCATTACCCATTGCGTTTCCATTGAGCGTCTTAATTTTATCCGGCATCGTCGGCAAATAAAAGAACAGTTAAAGTACCCAGTATCTAAGAATATGCCGGCCAGGCTCCTTCGCAATGAGGTTGTGAATTATAACTAGATACAACCAACTTATTCTTTCTTCTGTCCGTTTACCTATAATCGATGGTATAACCTTGAAATTTTAAATTTAGACATAGTAAACATGTCTTCCTAGGGTGTAGCTTCATGTTATATAAAGTTCTTAATTTAGCAAAACCTGCAGCGTTCACGGATGAATATTTTTCAAATTTTACATTGACATTTAAATCCCTCGAATATGAATTGGGAACTATTTACGTTGGCCTAACTTGATAATGGTTGCGGATTATTAAAAGATGGACAGAGGGACGCATGGATCTACACACAAACATTCCCAAAAAGGTTTTTCTAATATAAAACAAATTGTTAAGATCCGTAAAGTATGCTTCACTTCTCGCTGTGAAATAATCGTTTGATATATATCATTTTCCTTGTAACCTTTTTTTTAGATTTACAAATAGATGAGAGTCGCTGAGAGTCAATACAGAACATCACGATGGGCTTCAAACTTCAATTTATCTAATTTTGTCATTAGGACGTCAGCTATCTCTTGCGATGTTATATTTCGATTATCGAAAGTAACTTTCAAGCTTTCATACCATGTTTTGTTCTGCGTGCTACAAGCACATATTAAGATTTTGCGGATATATGAACCACCTAGACGGGCTTGAGTAAGATCTACTTCTTTTATGCCGATTGATTCAAGATCACGTTATGATTTCGTTTAAGCGTGTCTGCCTGTCTGTCCGTCTTCACTTTTTATTTATTCAATCTACAGGTCGCATTTTTTGAGATATGGGCATGAAATTTGAAACACTGACGTGTATACTGGCCCAAGAAGAAATACTATTGAAAATGGTTCGCATCGTTTCACATTTCGGACCAGTCCTCACATAAAACTTTATTTTAAAATGCTGTTAAATAAACTAAATTGCAAATTTCAAAATTTTTCGACAAAAGTCGCTAGGCAATAGCCCTGTAGAAAGGGATTTAATGTTCAATCTTTTATGATGAAGATTGGTTTTTAATAGCAATTTAGCATAAAAATTAACTATCGTCGATGAATCACATCAGTCTATGTTTTAGACCTGAACATATCATGAAAAGCAAGCAAGTGTCTTGGGCATCCTCCAACATGCGAGCTTGAAAAATACGATTTCGCATGTAAATAATGCGTAATTTTTGATGTATTATTGACAAAAGGAACGAATGATGAATTGGTCTAGAGCATTTAATGGTCGGCCTGGCCTGACTACAATGTTCTTGCTCGTTTATCCCTTAAACTTTACAAAATTTCTTTTTCCATCTGGGCTGCAAACGTATTCATAGACTTCGTAAAGAGACGTTATATTAATTTTGCTTTTGCATTCGCAGCACTGAAGATTATTTCGGACTTAAGTTAACCGTATTCGCAACCATAGCCTCTCTGATGTTCCCAAGGGAGCGAATATTGGCAAACACCTGCGGAATTGACGATCCCTTGTTAGAATGACTTCAAACTATCTGAGCTGAAGTGGCATAATTAAGAAATAAAGTGAAAAAAAATTCAAAACATATAGAGACTTAAGCTGTGAAGAAAAAGCACTCTCATTCTGTTTGATGGCACATTGCTATGGCTATTATTAATAAAGAATGCATATTAGTTTAAGTGACGGATAAGTAAACTTTGCTTTAAGGCGAACGTAACTTTCTTTCGTTACGTTGATTCACTTTTGTATTTTTTATTAGTTTATCTTATTTACATAACAAACCTAAAAGAATTTTATAAGATTTGTGAAGCACGAATATTTGGCAAAAAGAAAATAAATAAAACTGTTTACCATGCATTCCTTAAATATTTTTTTTTTCTGCCATAATATTTTCTAAAACTTACTACGTTGACGTATGTATATATGTATATATATAAAGTAGGGTTCATTATATTGCTTTAGCATAAAGTATTTCTCATTCTTCTATTAAGATTGACGGAAACCTTTATTAAATTTTTTTTGGTTGTGAGGGCGTATAAAAGAAAAAATCATTTTATTCAATGCTTATTTCAGAAAAGTTTCTTTGACAAAAGATGAAAAATAAACAAAAACTTATGATTTCAAAATAATTTAACAATTATAATTTTAAATGAACTACGCATTCATTACTGAAGTTATATTATTAATACAACAACACCAACAATAAGAGGACAATCATTTTTACAAATTCCTTTAATTATTAGACAAATTTATCAGGAAGTTGACAAAAACAGAGGAAAGAGAGGGAGACAAATTCAGTCTGTAGGCAAATGGTTTACTTAATATGCACCTGTCTGCCTGTCTGCCTAAGTATTGTTTGCATTGCCATCTGATAGCTGCGGTATCTTTATTTAACACCTAATTTAAACTGATTTTGATGTTTTTATTAGGGTTGTATATAAGACTGGAAAACTAAGGCATGAAATATAAACAAATATGCAAATATAAATTTGTTACGGAAATTAAATAATTTCCTGTTTTTGTTTCGTATTTACAAATACATGAACGTACATACAGTTAAGCAGATAAATTTATATAATATTTTATGTATACATATATGTCTATGAATAACTTACTTGTACACGAACTTCGGGTAGATTCACTTTCATGGCTAATTCTTCTCTTGAGTAAACGTCGGGATAATGAGATTTCTCAAAAGCTCTTTCTAGCTCGTGTAGTTGGTAGGTGGTAAAAGTGGTACGATTGCGACGATGCTTTTTCTTCGAACAATTATCGTCTTGTCCTGATGGTTAAGAAATTTTAAAATCTAAAGGTTAACAGTGATTTACATTTTCATGACATTGTAGCGTGTCTTCTAAATGAGGGGATTATTAAGGTCATTTTTACTTTTTTGTCTTCAACTATATCAAAAAGTGCTTCGAAAGATTTTTCTTTTCATAACTTACCGTCTTCGTCACTACCTGAGGTGATTTTCTCGCCTTGTTCACTTGAATTGGTTTGATTGAGATCCTCACTAGAAGCACAGCTGCCATTCATTAGACTATCATTATCATTTAAACGATCCTGATGCTCATTCGAGCCCACCGCACCGCCATTGCCGTTGCCGCTGTTGGACCCCGTTGCGGACAAACGATAATCTTCCATATGTTTTTGTTGTACGTGATATTGATTAAGTTGTTGCTGATGCTGTTGTTGTTGTTGTATTTGCTGTTGATGATCCAAATTACCGTTGTTATTATTGGTAAATGTTTGTTGTTGCATATCTTCTAAAGAACGTGGCCTCAGACCGTCAAATTGCTGCTTTAAACTATAATTATCTGTAGTGCTGCCATTAATCAATGCTTTCGTAGATAAACAATCATTATCGTTATTATTATTGTTGTTGTTATTGCAATTATTCGTTAAACTTAAATCATCGCAGTAAGCTGTTGTGGTTGAGTTGGTTGCTGATTTACGTTTCAAACCGGAGCCGTTACTGTAAATCGGTGACTGAGCTGACGACGAGGATATTACATCAATGTTACGAATGTCTTGTGGATCTTTGGTATCTTCATCTTCGGTAACGGCATCAATGTCAGCCTCATTCGACAAGGACGACATGGAACGTTCATCGTAATCGTGTAGTTGCGCTAAACTAGAGGCGCCAACATTGTTGTTGAAATAACTTGAGGCTGCAGCTGCCGTTAATTGATTAGCCATTGTAACCACAGCCGAACAAACTGGCGAAGACGGTGACGAAGAGGAGCAGGTATTCGTTAATGAATTCGATGATTTAGCAAATTTCTGATCATATTGGACTTGCGCCTGAGCTTGTGCTGCCAAAGCAGCCAAGTGCTGCTGATGCGTTTGATAAGCTGGCGGTGGTGGTGGAGGATGCGAGTGAATTTGCGCTGGTGAACTTGACGTAGAGTTTTGCAAATGTGCATTATGATGATTGTGATTTAAGTTATTGGCTTCTACCATTTGATGCATGGAATTCAAATAATCATTACCCATAATGATGGGACTACTGCTGCCGCCACCTTCACCATTACTGCAATTGCCATTTAGATCGTGTCCATCGGTGCATTGTTGTTGATTGTGGCTGGCCGAGAAATGCTGTTGTTGAAAACTCATTAAGGAATTATGATAAGAACTTAACTGATGGGTGGGTGGTGGAGGTGGTAAATGCAAGTTGGACGAGCCGCCCTGATGATGATGCGGATGTAAATGATGATGATGATGTTGGTGATGATTGCCAATTGTATTACAATTGGTGTTGGTGGCATTACTATTGCCTGAATTGCTATTAGTTGAAGTTAATGGGAATAGTGAAGCATTACGATGTTGTGCAAAAGCGGCAACCATATGATTATCTATGTGGCGCAATTGGGCCAATGGCATATTGTAACGTAAATCTGTGGCATCATTTGAGTTCTCAGCTGGAAAAGAAGTAAGAGAAAGGAGATTATGATTTTCAAAGGCGAATAGAGAAAATTCTTTGAAAATTATTAACACACTATTAACAAATTGAGATAATTGATCCTAAAGGGAGCGCTCTAGCTGGTAATAGTTTGGTTTCTTTCGTACATACACATTTATATTTATAACATAGCGCAGATTCACTTAAAAACACCGAGTTGTGTACGCATCGGTTTTGCAAATGTTTGATAGAATGCGGTATGACAATAAGAAGCTATTAACAGAATCTTTGCCCTTATAAATAATAAGAAACAGACTGTTATTGTTACTGATAACAAAGGCTCGAAAACTCAGTAATAGTCTTCTAGTTTGAATTTTGAATAAAATGTGGAACTATATTTTTTATTTCGTTGTCTCTGGTATTTCTTTATAAAAGCTACTAATCTCGACACCTAATTTACTTTCTTATAATAAAGGCGATAACCTATGTTGGTAGTGCTTAATTTTCTGTTTCGTTGGTCTAAAAAATATACATTTGCTTAGGTTTGTTTTCGAGCTCAGTACTTTATCTATATATCTTTACATGACTTTGTGTGTGTGTGACTGCATAAAAACGAATTCTCGGTAAAATTTATTTGATCCGACATCACGCAATGTGGGGCAACATAGCCTGGTGACACAATATTTTACATTAATCAAAAACATAGGAAACAAAATAATATTTAAATATCGATATCGTCAAACAATATCCGAAGTTAGTTGAAAAATCACCTGGCACATTATTCCTTTCAGCCTCAAAACGAAAACGAAAGCATAACATATTTTAATAATGTAGAAGAAAAAAACCACAAACCCCCCTGGTTTTATACTCATCATTGAAGGATAAGGGCAACGCCGAGAAAAAAGTTTCAGAGATCCCACAAAGCGCTTATATTCTTAATCAGCATCAAATTCTGAATCTATTTAAGATTGTCCATCTGCGTGGTTGTCCGTCTATCTATCCGTATAATGTCTGCGGTAAACATGCTGCAGGCCGCAAAATCGAAGATATCGTCTACAAATTTGCAAAACATTTGTGCTTTTCATGTTTTTTGCTTGTTACTCGTAAAATACAACACAAATATCGCATAAATTTCCGGAAACATTAGTTCCCCCCACCCTACAACTCTTAATATCAAAGAGTATGAAAACTTAACTCTTTTCTTTTTTTTAGTCTTTTTTAAAGAAAACGGAGACGGGCATAAAAGATTCGGTTATGACCGAATATAAGTTTGTTACTTGTAAATAGTTTAATTACGTTTCATTAGAAGAGAGAATTCTACCTATGGTTTAAAATTATTCCATCTTTTCTTTACCAAACTAAGTCACCCAATCTTATATTTAATTTAAGAAAATTTTGGAAAATAATTTTTTTTATGTTTTTATTCAATAAATTGATATCAATGTGTTTAAAACATAATTGCTACGTAAAACAAACACCTAATAATTACAATTTATTAATGCCGCTTGTACGTAAAGCTCGCCTTTGTATGCAGCTAATGCATACTATATGCTATAATTTTCTACTCTAAATGCATCAGGGTAAGTAAGTTCGTTAGCGAATAGTAATCACGGCCTAAAGGGAATGAGCATTTTTAGTGGTTAAACAGATTATAAAAATTTATTACGAAAGCGGAAAAACCCCCGGGTGCATTAATCAATTTTTAGATGAGCGATAAAAATCAGTATTTTTCATGAAATGTACGAGTGAAACAGGTGTGCTTAACACGGCTTAAAGTGAACATGCTTAAGTTCCGCGTTGAAATTAAAATTTTGTGTTTTCCATTTAATGATTTGTATCGTTTTTGACTTTCTCTCTCGCTTGAAATTAGGTGTTTCTTTTTTAGCGAAATATGTGAAACCATAAAAACTCTCAAGAGAAAAGTTGTTGGACCCACACTAAGGTCTTTTCCTGCCAATTCTTTGTTAAGAACCTTCAAAAGCTTAAACAAGACTAGCAAATTGGCAAGAAAGTCGACATGCAAGAAAACTTTCACGGTCTATTTCGAAGAAGAGAACTAAACTAATGGAGAATATAAAGCAGAGGACTTAGAAACAACATTGTTATGGGAAGGAGAGAAGGGTTTACGCAGCTATCGTCTGGCACGCAACAAATGGAAAAACTAAACGGAACAAATCGCAGTTTTAATGTTTCGTTCAAAAACCTAAAAGAAATGATCTTCATCGTGAACAACTAAATATGTAAAAGTGCACCTTTTGCTTTTGTATCCAGAAAAGAGACGTAAAATAAAATAAATATTAAAGAATCCACTTCATTCACCATGATCTTTACGATCTTTCCTTCTACGACAAAAAATACTATCTCATAACTTCATTAGTGAGATATGGCGCTATTAAATTGAAGGAGCAAGTTCTAACCGCTTACGTAGAGACCTCGCCCTTTTCTTTGTCCTTCCGCACAAGTTAGTTTGGTCCGATCTTTTTCGACACCAAGTTTTCTACCTCACCAGTTGCGGTCGTCACGGCAATTACCTCAAATCGCGGGAAGAACGCTTGTTCGGTACGGAGTTGAATAGCGACCAGATGCTTGGCCCATATAGAGGCAACGGTTTTAGATGAGCTTTGCTTTCCTTACAGGACCTTCCTTACACTATGCACGGGAAATAACGTTCTTTACAAAGACGAACATTGTACACGCCATTTTATATTTATAGAAAACTGACGGACGGTCTTGTAGTCGTCTTCAATTCGTCTGATCACAATTGTTTCCCATATTTTCATTCGAGGACATTAAAGAAAACGTTCGTTATCGGGAAGAACAAAATGCATTGAAGAAACCTCGTGGTTCTATGGAGAATTGAATTCATGGAAACAAACCTTCGCCTTTGAACAGTATTTGAAATAGTTGGCAATATCATTTGAAAACTATCCAAACCTCATTAAAACGATTATTTACCAAACTGTTGAAAATATATTTTCCCGCATTACTCCCGCGACTTTTCCCACTATCGGGTGTTTCATGTGTGTGTGTCTATATATATTATAAAATAATATATAATTCATATGATGTTTACCCTTTAGGTAGTTAAATAAGTTGTTGTGACTGTACGATTGACATTCAGCTTAGTAAGGAGTCTTTCCTTTTTCTATTGAAAACTATTCATCGTGGTGCCGCCAACTTACTCCCACACGATTGTAACTATTTGCAAAAAGTTAGAAAAAGAGGGTATCATGTGACATGCAAGAAACTCATTAGAGTTTGAAAAACGAAAACGAATTGAAAATATGTTTAGAATTTAAATTTTAGCAGCGTCACAAAGAGAGAGGGAAAGTATGGAGAGTTTGTTTGGTGGAGTGTTAATGATATCCTTGTGGGAATGTTTTTATTTTTACATTATTTTACCACTTTTTGCTCGAGACTACAAATTGACTTTTTCCAGTTGTAATCAATTTGTGGCCACATTAGTTGCCATTTTACATATAAATACATGGCATATATTTACATAAACATATATACACATTACCGTATCTACAAACATATATCATAAAACTGTTATAAACAATATCGTCATTTAAAACATGTTTTTGATTAAATGAATGAATATAAGCAGATTGAAATTGATTGACGAACTGACTGACTGACTGACTGACTGATTGCTTCTGCCGCTGTTAGTCAACAATGTGCTTTCTGTTGCCAAAACACAAATCCAATTAATGGCTTGAATAATGTTTGTAGCTAAGTATATTATATTTGATAGTAATTGCATTTTGTTAAACGATGATGATGAAGTACTTCAAGTATGGGCGAATTAATGGGAAGGGAATAGATTGGATTTTCGTGTTTGTTTAGTAATATTTTCCGAAAATAAATCTTAAAACAGTAAACAGTAAACAAAAATAAAGTGGAATGTGCTATTTACAGTGCAAAACAAGTTAATATCATGCGTTAGCCGTTGATGGGATTGATCTGACCTTGGTACAAACACATCATCTTATTTTCACTTATCGAAAGTATATCTTATAAAATGCATGCTTACACTAAAATTCTAAACAGTGCTCGTATCTGTATATCCGTCCACCAAGCTCATCCAGTCCGTCATTTTAGTTCTTCCATCTTATATATATATATATATGTACGCAAACGCATTGATACTTTGTGTACCACTGCAAAGTAGCCTTCCGCTGTATGTGCGTCCATATAATTGTATATCATTTCTAAATCTATCAAAAAAATAGGAGGTC